ATCACCATCGCTCTTTGTGATGCCAATCTGTAAGCACACCTAAACATCTTGCTAACTCGACTGACACCTTGCACAATAGACGGAAAACTACCATCACAGCGAAGGCGCTTGATGAGTACCAAGAGCTGATACAAAACACTGTGTCGGATCTTGAGGGCATCCTACAGAATATTGACGAAAAGTTACAAGCTCTTGTCACTGCTGGTGCAAATGTTAATCAGACAGATTTTGACGAACAAAAAATCCAAGTCGAGCGAGATTGCGTACAGCGATGCCTCGATATCTGTGCTGAGCTGTCGTCGCACGTCGAAAAGGGGCAGTCTTCCGCGTCCCAAAACCTGCTCCTATCGCCAGAAGACTATGGCGACCAGGTCGATCCTCTCAATGCTGCTGCTTCAGCTCGACAGGCTACAATCACCGTCCTAGGTGATTGTAAGGAAAGACTTGCCTATACATCTTCACAACTCAACATCCATCTTACAGACGTCCTCCGCCGACTAGACACCCTCGAAGGGCAAAAATTTGCATACTCGGACTTCAAAGAACAAAGCAGAATGCAAGAAGAAATTAAAAGCATCAAGCAGAGTTTGGCAGTGTGCGCTAAAGCTTCCAAAGATGCTTCCACGGATCGAGTTAATATGTTTGATGAAGTGTCACTTGGCGAGGATGGCCATCAAGTCATTGTGTCAACAGTTGGGGATTTGATCAACGCTCGAAGAGTTTCGGCCGGTGCAAGGTCCACACAGCTGCTGGGGCAGATGTCCGACCTGACGCTTCAGAGTATTGGCCAGCGTCAAAGTTACAGCATCTCGAACCAGGGTCCTTCAGGACAAGAAGACAATACATCATCGTCCAATAAAAGACATGGTTCATTTGCTTAGAAAGGGCACAAGAGGAGCACGAACAGTCAGCATTCTAGAAAATTCAGGGCGTCAAGAGTGACGAAGCGATGACTTAGTCGGGTAGCGCGAAGCAAGTGAAGGCTGGAGTCAGTTAGCCGTTGAGAACGGATACCGAGGCCGTTTCTATCCTCCGAAGCTGTCTCATGTCCAGTGATCGCAACATCCTAACGAAAGCACATTCTCCACAAGTACTCCAATTCTTTTGGAGTGTAGTGCGATTGATACCCACATTCAAGCATGACCGGCTGGATACAGACAGATAAACATCGATTGGAGACTGTTATCCACAAAAGGACAGTAGAGGAGAACATCGAGCCGTGATAGAGAGTTGCATATACCGGTTCTAGCGCTATGTGAACCATCTCAAAGATCACCTTTACTTTGTAGACGAAGATGTTTCGCCGCACAGAAACCGAGTCAGCCCAGCGTAACGCTCTAACTTCTTCTCCACGTGCTGGCGTGCCGTTTGTCACGTGCGTTACTGCATAGAATAGACGAACAAATGGCCAATTTCCTAAGGTATCGTTTTGGTTTGGCTTCCCCTCTTCTTGTTTCAAATGAAAACCTGGCTTGATTTGAGAATGCGAGTCTATTCAGAGCGCGAAAAGACCCCTAGAATTTATTAGCTGGGTGTGTTAGAAGTGAGAACCCTGGGCGATGAGTCACAAGATCATCTTGTACGGCATTAAGCGAGATATCTGGCCACTGATCAATAAAGAGCTCTTGCGTAGGATTTTGCAACCCTAGTATGACGTCGTGGATTGTTTCGCGGAAGTGTCGCATGTGAATCTGGGCATCTGCGATATACAGCGTTAAGCCATCTAGCGACCATGATATATTTGCTTGGGGGCTCTCGCGCCGAGTAATTGCTCGTCCCTACTAAAGCCGTTCGATGAGGTATCCAGCAGGTGTGAGGCTTCCTCGTTGAAGATACTTGGGTCGGATGTGCTCACGCAGTCGCTGTGCTTGGTCGGCGTAGGGAATACGCTCAGGCCCAGGAACTTTGAGACGGTTGTATGGTGCAAGTGGCAGTGAGTTCTCAAGTATGACCAGATCTTCCACCCAGAGGAGCGCTGATATGAATGGGGCATAGTCGTAAGGTTTGTGGAAACAAAGGTCTGTAGGATGGATTCCCTGGACACTGGAAAATGCAACATGGCGCTACGGTTCATGTTTCCATCGTGCGACAGGTCTACCCAGAACATGATAAGAAGCTGGAAGAGACTCTCACAGATATCATCCAACGATGGTTGTAGCGATGCCCCGCAGTCTGCCTGTTCGCCGGTAGCAGGAAAATGGTTCCAGATGTGGTTCGTCATGGCCAGCTGAGGTGTAGTCAGCTGCAGCCCTGAGATCGCGCTCGTAAGCTTCTTTATATTACGCGACAATGCTGATGCCCAGAATATATAGCATAGAAACCGCTCGTGGATGACATAGTATCTTCGCCGGGTCGGTTCGCGCTGGGCCAGCTGGAGCGGGTAAGGAAGGAAAGAAGGGGTCCAGCTCCGAAGCCAGCATCGCAAAACACACGGAGTCCGCTTGAGCGTCACTTCACATCGCTGAAACACGTTCTTGCTGACCTCTGGTATCTCCCAAATGGCCCTCTATGTGTGTGCTGGGCTCACGCATTCGAAACCACTCCAAAGGCCTTGTACAAGATCCTTTGACGTTCTTGTGGAGGGTGATGTTGCAGCTACGATGGCTATATCGATACGCTTACGAGCGAACCACGGTATTCTCATCGTGCTCTAGCTCTGCATCTAGAGCTACTCCGCTACCCTCTCATCATAGCACTGTTCTGCCTCCTCCTCTTCGTCCTCCATCCGCACCAGGCATTCCTCTTCACTTGCGGAGTATGCTTGCTCCTAAGTTCCTTACTGAATAGAGTTGTTACCTTGGGTTATCATCCAGCGTTTCCTTCTTCCAGGCTCGGTCCGTACTATGGCGATGTGGACTAAAGCGGTAGTCCGTGAGGTAGCGTAGGGAGTGTTCAGGTGGAAAAAAGTTACCGATGTCAACCAATGGGCAAGAAATACCAATTCTATAAACGATAGAATAACTAGTTGACAATCTGTGTAAGAGATGATGTCGCAGGCCAAGCGCTGTCGGAAACCTTGTTACTAATAACGCCGTGCGATGACCTTTTATATAAGCTCAGCTAGGAGGTTACAAACAATACAACATACACTCTTCCCTAATTTTCCGTCTAAAATACCCGCACCCAACCGTGCGACAGATGAACTATTTGAGTTGACCACAACGAGGGTAATAATGAAAGCCGTCCATCCTTTATACCCACTGCGATCTATACCTATCCTCCCTGGACTTATCCAAGAGGGAGGTGCAGGAGGAGTGTAGCCT